TTAAAGACGCTATAAATAGAGATGAGTGTAATAGATTAGGGTAGAAAGGAAGAGGGGAAATATACAAGGGGTTGGTGAGTGTTGTGAGGAGAGGAGAAAGATGTAAGGGGTTAGTGAGTGTTGTGAGGAGAGAGGAGAGTATATGTAATTCTTGAGTGTAAAGATTTAGAAGAGTGTGGTGAGTGAGAGTGAGTGGGTTTTTGACATCTGGTTGTATATTTTCTTCATTAATTCATAATAATGGAAATTTCTTTCTCTTCATAGATATGACTCTAAGGTTAGATGAACCATATAAAATATTATGTCGTGCATGAATGTGTATGATTGTTACTCCATATATGTTTGTGTTGATGTGATGTGATATAATGATGCTTCAATTATGTGTGATGAAGGAGGATTTGACTCCCAATAACAACTAACCGTAGAGTGGGTTGAAAAGAGTCAATATCCCCAACAACTGGTATCAAAGCCGATAGTGGGTCAGAGCTTGAGGTTGGTTCTGAAGATAAGAGAAAAAGGATGGAGTGAAGTTTGTCAGAGTAAAGGTTGATCATGGGTTCTATAGAAAATCAATCAGAGTTGATGTTGACACGAAGAAGGTGGATAGTATGAAGATACAAGCACATGAGAAACAAGTTTTGGGGACAAGCCAAAGAGTGGTGCTAGTTCTCAAGATAGGTCTAGTACGATTTGAGGAATGACTGAGTTTTTACTAAGCTCGATAAAAAGCATTGCAAAAGGAATAAGAGGTTTGTCGTTTTTGCCCAAAATAAGCAGCAAAGGGGGTTAACAATTGACAAGGATGGTGGAAGAAGAACAAGCATGATGGAATTTGAAAAAAGATGGAGATTGTTGGAGCGTTTTCAATTTCATCATAGCGTTTGATTCGAGGTAGAGAGATCTTCGGTCGAAGTGGAGTTATGGGGTAGCGCGTGCAGACCAAATTCAAGCTAAGGTAGAGATTGTTGGGTTTGTGGCTTGAATTCATGTGCAAAAGATGGATCTATTCAAGTTAATAACTCTTTGTAGGCAAGTTGTGAAATTCTTGTCCAACTAGGAATTGAGTTTGAAGACTATATAAATAGAAATAGGTTTGAGAGATTAAGGTAGAGAGATGAAACATGAAAGAGGTTGGTGAGTGTTTTGAGGAGGGGGGAGATTAATGATTATGTGTAATTCCAGAGAGCAAAGATGTAGCCTTAAGAATGTGATGAATGATAATGAGTGGGGTTTTGACATCTGATTATATATTATCTTCCTTTATTCATAAAAGTGAAAATCTTTCTTTGTGGACATAACTCTAAAGTTGGGAGAACTACGTAAAATATTGTATTTGTACGTGGATGTGTATAATTATTATCTTTGTATATTCTTGTATTAATGTGATGTGATGTGATGTGATGAAACCTTCGCTATTTTTGATGAAGGAGGAATTTGACTCTCAATAACAACTGACCGTAAAGTGGGTTAGAAGAAGTTAATATCTCCAATGCTTGCACAGTTAATGTCTCCATTGCAGAGCATGAGGACATCATATGCAAATGAAAAATGTGAAATTTTGAGAGTGTTGCATCTCTAAAACTTCTTTCACATTTATATGAACATTAGTCCTAAATGTCCCTACTATTTAGTTGAATAATTGAATATATTAATCTGTCCTTTACAAGATTCTAAATATAAAATAGTTCGGCAAGAATGACTAATTTGCAATGGATTTAATAGTTGTCACATCTGAGTCCCACTAATTTATTAGTGAGGGAGTCTCAAATTTAACCAGGCACACGAAGCTAGAATTTCATTAAATGTATTTGATAAAATAAAATAAAAATCAATTAAATAGACTTAGGGACAAGTGTAGAAAACACGCTAAAGCATACTTCGCGTAACACTTTTACCATCTATTTGAAAAAGTGTGCAAAAAATACCCATAATCTTTTTACATTGTGCAAAAATACACCCTCTGACATGAATTAGTGTTGTAATACTCGTTTTGTCCTTTTACTCTTCCAAAAATGCCCAAGGGGGTATATATACTACTAATCTCATAGTGTAGAGGTGTTATGTACACATTACCTTTATATATATATAGTTGAAACTCTTTTCTCTCTCTCTATATATATAAATATCTATATTTTATTTTATTTTTTATTTTTTATTTTTAACTTTGAGAATTTGTAGAATAAGGATTTGAATTTTTTTAAATTCCAGTTTACTCTTTTCTACTAATTTTTTTTTTCTTTGTTTTATTTTTTTTTTTCGGTACCAACACTGTTAAAAAAAATAATAATAAAAAATAAAAAAATTCCCATTATCTATGTGCACTAGTTTTCGGAGTTTGGAAAAATTTTGTTTTCTTTATTTTGCACTTTATTTTTGTTTTCTATTTTTTATTTTTATCTTTATTTTTCTTTTATACTTTTATTTTATATTTTTATCTTTACTTGTCCATTGCCGGTGTCCTCCAATAGTGTCATTTTATAAAATATATAAAACTTTAGTTAACTTAGGGTTCAGTAAGGGTAATTTAGTCAACTTAGGGTTTAAATTTGTCAGATGAACCTATTCGAACCGGATTGAAACTTTAGGTGTGTTATTTCCACGAGAGGAGCATCCTCCAATAATGTCCTTTTCGGTTATTTTACAAAATTATTTATTTTTATATATTTTATAAAATGGTTGAGTAAAAATAATTTAGTCAACTTAGAGTTTAAATTTGTCATAGGAATTTATTTGCACCAAATTGAAACTTTAGGGATATTTTTTGCACGTAACGAATGTGATATGCACTTAAAGCATATTTTAGGAGTGTGTTCTTCACTTAATCCATAGATTTATGATAATGACATGATGCGGTGAATTATCTAATAAATGATGGTGTGGTGATTATGTTAGGTTTTTTTTTTCTTTTTTCTTTTTTTTTTTTTTAATATTCAATATTGATTCACAATCAATTTTGGCCACATTGGTTTGATTATGGCCACATTATTCAACCCAGGAAATACTAAACATTTTGTCTTTTTTTTTTAAAATCCCAGCAAATTCAATATATATATATATATATATATATATATATATATATAAATCCCAGCAAATTCAATATAATGAAGTTTGTTGAAATATTATATATATGATTACTTTTTAAAGATTATTTTTAAGTATATGTGGTCAAAATTACATAAAATAAAAAATAAATAAATAAATAAATAAAGAAGAAGAAGAAGAGTAAGAAACTTGGTGGCATTTTCCCAGAAACTAACCAAAAAAAAAAAAAAATGAAAAGAAAAGAAAAGAAGAAGAGTAAGAAACTTGGTGGCGTTTTCCCAGAAAATAACATTAAAAAAATAAATAAATAAATAAATAATAAAAAAAGTAAGAAACTTGGTGGCATTTTTTCAGAAAATGACCCGTGATATACTACAGTATTATACAACAAAAATCATCCTAGCATAGCATATATACAGTAAGTTACCTTGGTATCCTATGAAAATGAATGATTCCAAATTGGTTGTCACCTTCCTAAAAAAAATTAAAAAATTAGTTGTCGGTGAATGATTGATTCTTTCCTAATCAGCAAATACTTTTTCCAAGTGCAATGAATTATTTTCTCCTACTTTATTGGTATTATGGCCGACAGTAGTACATTTCAATGGCTACTTTCTACCCTTGGGTAAAGTATGTCCAAAGGCAACTTCCAAAAAAGAAAAACAAAAGTATGTTCAAAGACTTTTGAAGCTTTCAGTCAACCCCCGCTTCCTCTGGCTCTTGAGCTTGGTTTGAATTTGATTAGGTGCAAGCAAAACCCATTTTGGTTCTGTCATACTGCTCAGTCTTTCACAAACATATCCATCTCTTTTCTTCTGGATAGATGGAGGTTGCGGGGATCTTTCAATATTTCTAAATGAAAAGGTTCAGGTATATATCAGCGACCTCAATGCACGAGATTTTCGTCATCGCAAGAGATATTCGCAACCTTACCTCTAAATATTGAGATTTCAGTTCCTATTTTCAAACTTTCCCTACATGGTTCAATGTAGTAGAATTTAATGACACGGTAAGTTATATGCTATTTGGTTCTCAATTTAAGAAAACCTAAAGTGTATAAGGGTCCTATAGTCCAACAGGCCATGGTGATCCTTAGGTGAACAATGGAAAGAAGAAAACTTTCTAAAATTTAATTGATCAGTTGAAAGATAAATATGCTTATTTATGTTAGACTACCCATTACACCAGAAGTTCAAGCTCTTTCACCATTTTGTAATTAAACAGTTATGTTTGATAAAACTAAAAATTAAGTATTTAAAATTTTAAGAAGAGCAAAATTAGCAGATTTAAAATTTAAATTAAATTTTTTAAAAACATTGCTTTAAAATAAACACTGTAGCCATTTTATCTCTTATCTATTACAATTAATAACTGAATAAAAAATTAGATAGAATATACTCTTTGGGATAGAGGGAGTATATAAATATATTTTTGATCTTCCAAACAATTATCATGTGTCGCACACCTAATTAATAAACTCATTTAAACTAGAGATTGTGATTTATTAAAAGCAAAATGTACAAAATCATAAATCTTAGATTTAATTTTAGATTTTAAAATCAGGGAATGCAAGTGAAGGTAATAAAAAACAACACTGCTGTAAGTTATTGTAATAAGATCGCAAGCACACACAAACCTACTCTGTATGCTTTTGTAAGAGAAAATAACGCTTTAAATATTTCTGTGGGTCTATACAACGAAAATCATCATAGCAGGGTTATATCGGCATATATCAAAGGTTTTTGTTTTGTTTAATTTGACAATAAGAAAGTTTATATTGTATATTGGAAAATAAAGCACATATACAAGATAAGACAGACTAAAAAACATGAGTGGATTGAGACAAAAGATTCCAAATTGAATGATGCTTTGGTTGTCTGATTTTTGGATCAACTACTTTTTTTCAAGTGCCATGAATTATTTTCTCCTACTTCAGTGGTATTATGGCCCACAGTAGTAAATTCCAACAGCTCCACTATCCTTTGGTAAACTAATGTCCAAAGACTTTTGAAGCTTCCAGTCAACCAACCCCCTCTTGCTCTTGCTATTGCTCTTGCTCTTGGTTTGAATCTGATTAGGTGCTCAATCTTTCACAAACATATCCATCTCTTTTCTTCCTAATCGATGGAGGTTGCAGGGATCTATCTGGGGCCGATCATTCAGGCGCTGCTTGACAAGTTGGTCTCTCCGGCGGTGTCAAACTATGCCCGTCGAGAGGGAATGGATGCTCAGTTGAAGAAGTTGGAGAAAATGTTGCCAGCTATTCGTGCTGTTCTGGCTAACGCAGAGGACAAGCAATTGGAAAATGATGCTGCTGTCAAATTGTGGATGGACGAGCTCACGGACTTGGCTTACGATTTGGATGATTTGCTGGACGACTTGGCTACTCAAACTTTGGGACGAGAGCTGATCAAGCCACAATCTCATGCTAGCACCAGTACTACTAGTAAGGTACGACAACTCAACCCTCTCAAGCTTTATCATAATATGAAGTCCAAAAAAGATATGAAGTCCAAGATAGAGGACATCACTAAAAGATTAGAAGATATTGAAAAACAAAAGAGTATCCTGAATTTGAAAGAGAATGCTGAAGTGATTGGGTTCAAGACAACAAGAGGAGGACGGGAAACGACTTCTTTCGTCTACAACTCTGAAGTTTGTGGCAGAGTACAAGATCAAGAGGCTATCGTTGCGGAGTTGTTGAAGGATGAAGTTAGTGCTGACAATTTCTCTGTCATTCCCATTGTGGGCATGGGAGGCATTGGTAAGACTACTCTCGCTCAGCTGGTCTACAATGATGAACGTGTAGAGGGTCGTTTTGATCTCAAGGCATGGGTTTGTGTTTCTGATGATTTTCATGCATATGTTCATAGAGTGACAAAGGCAATTCTTCAGGAAGTCACTTCAGGAAGTCACGATTCCGTGTCTCTGAATATGCTTCAACAGAAACTGAAGGAGAACTTGTCAGGGAAGAAGTTTCTTCTTGTTTTGGATGATGTTTGGAGCGACAAGTATGAAGACTGGCAGCTCCTAAAACTTCCTTTTAATGTTGGGGCACCTGGGAGCAAAATTATTGTCACAACTCGCCATGAAAGCGTTGCATCAACCATGACTCTGTCTCAGGCTTACCAACTAAAAGGTTTGTCCAATGATGAATGTCTATCTTTATTTGCCCATCATGCACTCGAGAAAGAAAACTTTGATGCAGATCCAAGTCTAAAAGGAATTGGTATGGAAATAGTGAGTAAATGTAAAGGCTTGCCCTTGGCTGTAAAGACACTAGCAGGCCTCTTCCGGAATAAACGCCAAAGTAGTGAGTGGGTAGACATATTGAATAGCAAGATATGGAATTTACCCGAACAAAGTGGTGGTATTCTTCCAGCCCTTCAATTGAGCTATCATCATCTCCCATCTCATTTGAAGCAATGCTTTGCCTACTGTGCAACATTTCCAAAAGACTATGAATTTGACAAAGCTGAGCTAGTTCTATTGTGGATGGGGATAGGCCTTTTGCAGCAATCAAAAGAAAAGGATCGAATGGAGAATTTTGGCAATAAGTGTTTTGATGATCTTTTATCAAGGTCATTTTTTCAACAATTTGGTAGTAGTAAATTATTGTTTGTGATGCATGACCTTCTACATGATCTAGCTATACATGTTTCTGGAAAAATATCCGTTCGGTTGGATAAGTTGGAGGGTAATGAGCAATTTGAAATTCCTAAACGAGCTCGACACTTGTCATTTGTTCGTCAATACTATGAAGCCTTTCAAAAGTTCAGGCCTCTTTGCAAAGTTCAGCATCTCCGAACTCTATTGGCATTACCAGTTCAGGCACATGCATCGGCATACTTAGCAAAAAAGGTTTTGTTTGATTTATTGCCAAATTTACAATGCTTAAGGGTGCTATCGTTGTCTGGTTATTCCATAACTGAGTTACCAGACTCAATTGGCCATATGAAGCATCTCAGGTATCTTAATTTGTCTGGGACTTCAATTCGATCGTTACCTGAATCAGTTAGTACCCTCTACAATTTACAAACATTGTTATTGCGTGGTTGCGAAAATCTTTGTATGTTTCCTCCAAACACTGAGAATTTAATTAATCTGCGCCATATTGACATTGTTGATACTGTGGAATTACGAGAGATGTCCTCAGGTATTGGTAGGCTGGAGAATTTGCAAACACTACCAAAGTTTGTTGTGGGCAGCAAAAATAATGGGGCAAGACTGAATGAGTTGGGGAATCTGAGCCTTTTAAGGGGGAGTATTTCTATTGAAGAGTTGCAAAACATAAAAGATGTTCGAGATGCAAATGAGGCAAATTTAAGGAACAAGGAGTGCCTTAATGAAGTAGAGTTGGCATGGTGTAGTGAGTTCAATGATTCTCGAGATGAAGACCTCGAATTGGATGTGCTTGACACGCTGCAACCACACGTAAACTTGAAAAGGCTCAAAGTTGAGTTCTTCGGGGGCAGGGAATTCCCAAGTTGGATAGGCAATCCATCCTTTTCTGAAATGGTGAACTTGAGTCTTATAGGCTGTAGGAAATGTAGATCTTTTCCACCACTCCAGCAACTACCCAAGCTCAGAGAGTTATACATTGAAGGCATGCATGAAGTGCAAAATTTGGGGGATGGACTTCCTTTTCCCTCACTGGAGAGGCTAAAATTTGAGGACATGCCAGCATGGAAAGAATGGTCTTTTTCTATTTCCATTGGTGTTGAAGAATCTCGAAGTCAATTCCCTTGCCTCCGTGAGCTCAGTTTGCGTGGTTGTCCCAATTTGATTACGGTTTCCCCTTTAAGGCTTCCCTCTCTTCAAAAATTATACTTGGAAGAGTGTGAGGAGGTGGTGCTAAAAAGTATAGTTGGTGTGACCTCACTAACTAGCTTGGAAGTTGTGGATATTAGAGGACTGTCTCAGCTGGAGGAAGCATTGGTGCAGTCTTTGGTAGCACTTGAAAGTCTAGTGTTCAAAAGATGCAACCAGCTGATGGCTTTGTGGCAAAATGGCGGCGGGGTTGCACAGAAAAATAATCTTGTCCGTTTACAGAGACTGAGAGTTGAGTCGTGCCCCCAACTTGTTTCCTTTGGAGAAGAATTAGATGACGAAGGGATGCCTTGCATTAATCTTCAGGAATTGTATCTAAGAGATTGTGTGAATCTTGAGAAGATGCCAAATGAGCTGGATAAGCTCACGTCTCTCACATCTTTAGAGATTAATGGGTGTTCGAAACTTGTGTGCTTTCCGAAGGCAGGTGTCCCGCACATGCTTAGAAGACTTGAGATAAGAGATTGCAATGCATTGAAGTCCGTGCCTGAAGGCATATCTGGTCTTAAAGAGTTGAAGATCGCGAGATGTTTATCATTGAGTTCCTGGCCCACTGAAAATATGTTACCCACCACTCTCAAGGATCTTAGTATTGTTGATTGCGTGAATTTGGAGGACTTTAACATAAATAATAATATTATGTCATCACTTGAAACATTAAGGATCGAGAAATGGCCAAAAGTTGGAATGTTTGTTGGGGGTTGCGTAAATAATAACAATTTTGCTAGTCTCAGAGAACTTCATGTCGAGAATTGCGATGGTGTGGAGTCCTTGTCGTTCCCAGAAAAAGGCTTACCCAACCTCACATCACTTCAGGTCTGTAATTGCGTGAATCTGAGATCCTTGCCTACCACCAACCAGATTCTTCAAAACCTTGAATCCCTATGGATAATAGGATGTCCAAGTCTCGAGGCCTTTCCGGAAAGAGGCTGCTGCTTGTCCACCCCCAACTTGAGATGGCTTTGGATCTGGGGCTGCAATAATCTGAGGTGGTTGCCAATTGATCAGATTCAAAGCCTCGCATCACTTGAATTCATAGAAATAGATGATTGTCCATGTCTTGGGGAGTCTTTTAATCAAGGCAATGGGAACGGGAATTTGCCCCCCAACCTTATTCATCTTACTATTGAGCGTTGCGGCAAACTGAAGCCCTTGTCAGAGTGGAGTATGCACAGACTCACCTCTCTTCAACTATTCAGCATTGCCGGTGGATATCCAGAGCTGGTCTCCTTTCCTCCTGATCATGACAATGATGAGTACTGTCTATTTCCTACAACTCTAACCGATTTAAGCATTGTGGATTTGCCGAATCTGAAATCCGTATCATTAAAGGGCCTCCAAAATCTCACCTCTCTTCAAGCTCTATGGATCCAAGACTGCCCGAATCTGAAATCCATATCATCATCATCATCCAAGGGCAAGGGCAAGGGCGGTGGCCTCCAAAATTTCACCTCTCTTCAACGTCTATATATCTGGAATTGCCCTAAGCTTCGATCCTTACCGAAGGAAGGCCTGCCTGCCACGCTTCAATATTTAAGTATCAGCGGATGTCCACTTCTTGAAAAACAGTGCTCAGGTGACTACTGGCCCAAGATTGCCCATATTCCCCGCGTTGAAATAAATGACAGCTAGACTGAACCCCTTACTATTCTATATTCTTGTGTCAGGTAAGCTCATGTTCTTCACACACTCCTCTCTCATGCCTCTCATTTTAATCTTTCATAACCAAAATGCTTCATTAGGTCCACAATTTTCGACTTAACCAAAATGCATTTTCTCCATTGCAGAATAATGGTCCACAATTTTACATTTATGGAGTGCTTGTGATTAATTAAGTCACACTTTTCGGACTCAGGTGATACTTCTTCTTCTTATTCTTTCACAGCCTCTTCATTTTCATATCATGTTTAGCCTTTTAAATAAAAATAATATCAAATAAATTATTATTATTATTATTATTTAAAGTAATTCACATTTCACACTACTTTAATTTTTGCAAAGGAATTTTGGTAGGTAGGCCACACAAGTTTTTAGGCTTTTGGGAATATAAAGCTTTTTTTATAAACAAAAGAAAACTTTCGAAAAAAAAAAAAACATGAACTGATATATATAAATCGTGCAAGTAAAATTTCAAATTAAATGAATTTGTGGAGTACGAAACAAGTAGGATGAGAATAGGTAGAATAAAATTAAACGTAATTTTTGTTTTTATATTGTTTCATACACGGACTTCAAAAGATTCTTATGAATATTAAAAGGTTAATGGATTCCAAATGTAAAACCACTTGGCCAATTACTTTATTTTAAATTTAGAGAATATAATTTTTTTTTTTTCTTCTCACAGCAGTGAATAACTTATAAAATTCATGTTTAGTGATTATGTGATGTGGGAATAGTATACAGAAGCTCTTACACTTTCAGAACAAAAAAAAGAAAAAAAGATTTTATTATATTTTATAAATTCTGGTAGACAGGTAAATTTTAATTATGCAATGGTGCCTACTGAAATCTCCATAGTTTAGCCTCATACTTCTGTGACTCTTACTTTTGAATTGTGAAATTCTACAAAGTTCTACAATATTTAATAATCAATGGTGAAGTTGAAATTCAAATTCTATGATGACTAGCTAATTAAATGAAACTAAGAGATTGTTTCTGAACAATTAAAGTAAAACAAATAAATAATGTTGAATATGTATAAACAAGACATTTTTTTATTTTTATTTTGGTTAAGTGAATAAACAAGACACATTAGACATCATTTTTGAAGAGATAAGACTAGAATAATTAATTCACACTCATTGCCAAGGAGTGCTGCGAATAGTTCAGTGGCAGTTGTACATGAAGCAGGATACCGTACCAGTATATGCGAGGCCCATTAATTAAGATTAAGACTAAACTAAGTTATGAACTGAATTACCACTCAGATTACTCTAAGTTATGTTAGAAAATTGAAGAAAGAAATTAGTACATTGCAAAAATGTAAAATGCTGTGTCTCTGTGAATTGTCTCTCTATAGAAGACTTTACCTTTTAGAAATTAGTACATTGCAAAAATGTAAAATGTTGTTGCCAATTTTATATGGAGTGGTAAAGAGAGATCTCCAAATTTTGTAAAATCTAGAAATAATGTGAAGCTATAAAAATATTGTAGGAAAAGGGAAAGAACTTCTAGTTTGAATCTCACTCAATCAATGGAGGCTAATACAACAACTTTATTTGAGGTTAGCAAGTGCTTCACTTAATTCTCTAACCAAATCAACAAGAAGAAACATAAGAATGCGTATTTTTGTTTTCCTTTTCCTTCATTTTCTCAACAACCAAACACCTCCTAATAGAATTCTGTGACTAAATACTTTATGTCACAATTGCAGGTTGGGATGCTAAATTGGTGAATGAGTCGTACCCATGGATTGAGAAGCAAATTGTTTACTGGCCAAAGCTTGGGCCATTGCAGAGAGCGGTGAGGGACAGTCTTTTGGAAGTTGGGGTCTTACCCTTCAACGGATTCACCTATGATCACATAAGTGGACCATTTTTGACAAGTTTGGTCGCCATCACACATATGCAGAGCTTCTTGCTTCCGTAATTTCTGAGAACCGTCATGTTTTGATTCATGCTACAGGACAAAAGATCATATTCAATGTAACAGGTTTGCTAGTTACTCAGATTCAATATAGGATTTTAGTCCCAAAAGTCGTAAATGAACCAGAAAGATTGACAACTAACTATAGAATGTGTACGTACTTGTTAACGGGCAGTAATGAGTTTATAATGTCCAATACAGGGAAGAAACCAGTGGCCGTTGGAGTGATCGTCATGGATGAAAATGGGAAACAACATTGATAATTTCTTGCAAAGAGGCCGAGCAGTGAGATAATAGTGTCGTGTGGAGCAATTGGAAGCCCTCAGCTGCTGCTATTCAGTGGCGTTGGACCTAAGGCTGACCTCAAGAAGATGAACATTTCAATGGTGCTTGATAATGAGTCTGATAACCCCTTGAACACTGTTTTTATTCCCGCCAATCGATCTGTGGAGCAGACATGGATACAAACTGTAGGGATTACCAAGATGGGTATGTACTTTGATAGTAGTTCTTGTTACCATTAAGGGATGTACATGGATTAGAAAGAAATGCATAGGCTGAGTACTTATGAGGCTACTGTCTCTAAACTGACAATTTTACCAAAAATATGTGTTTGAAAGAATGACTTCTAAGGAACACAACTAGAATGGACTATATAAAACTATGTAAATTGATAGAAATTTTCTCCCCATTCCTCCTATCATCTCTGTTTAATCTCTTTAGCCATCCGCGTGATCTACAGTGTTGCGTTGAAGGTATTCGTATCGTGGAGAAGCTTGTGAGCTCCAAACACTTCACAAACTTCGCACTGTTTGATAGACAATCAGTGGCCATGCCGCTCAACACATTAATGAAACAGGGTCATTGGAGCAGTTTTGCAAAGATACTGTGATCACAATTTGGCACTACCATGGTGGGTGCCGAGTGGGCAAGGTAAGATCTTAATACAATGTATAGATATACCTTATAAAAGATTGTCTAGGTTCTTATTTTTCTGTTCTGCCTCTGTGAATTTAGGAGAGAGAGTAATAAGCACAAATGGTTTAATATCATGATTTGGACTTGTACAGGTACATGGGAGTGAAGATTTTAAGAGAGATTAGGAAGAGCAGCTGGTTTATAAAGACAGATCAAGACCAAGTAAGGGCAGATGCATTTGTATGTTGTGATAGGGAAAATGTAATTTTGTTAGTCTAATTCTTAGTGCAATTGTATGTAGAGATAGGCTTGTCAACAATCAATATCGGTGTTCTGTTCTTTTGTATCTATGGTTTGTATAAGAACCAACTTTTATTTATGAAGTCACCTGTTGGTCTTTTTGCTGATTCACTTCCATTTTTTCAAAGTTTCATGTTACTCATTGTTTGATGTAGAACAGGTGGTGTTGAACTATCTGGAGTAGTTACACTGTCCAAAGCTTAATCCAGAACTATCTGGAGCAGTTAGACTGAATTTTATGAATGTTGAATAAAGTTTTCGCTGGACGCATCCCCTTATTTTTAAAGATAAGGTATTTTGGTCGAAAACAATCATAATGAGTGGGGTGCTTAAGATAAGGTAGCAATTTAAGCCGATTAAAAGATATAACCCGAATCTAATCCATTCTTTAAATTTGAGTTGAATTCGGGTTTGCAACTCAATCTAATGTTTCGAGTTATAAAACCGGATTGCTTATATGACTAATCTCTAATTAAAAAACTTAATGTGAGACAACCATTCCAGTATCAGATTTCAACATAACAATTAACAAAAATATTGAACTCAATATGCAAGCAATACAAATAGTGCACTGCCTATTAATGTGCAAGCAATACAAATATTTTTACTTTCACAAATCAAAGTTATTCGGGTTAGCATATTAAGGATAGGTTCAAGTTGGGCTTTGTATTGCCTGACACTTGAATCCAAGCCTAGATCAAATTTATTTTGGGTTTCTCTTTTTCACTCCAAATCCGCACCAAATTTCAAATAACATTATCCAAGTCCAATTTTTTTTTTTTTTTTTTATTGGGCTCCAGCTAGGTCGAGTTAAGAATATATGTACTTGAGCTTGGATTACTTTTTCTTTTTTAAATATTAAAATAAGGTTGGCCTTTGGGCTTGGGTTGGCCTTCGGTTGCTAAATAATACCTCAGCCGAAACCGAAACAAATTAATTTTTGGTCCAAAATTTTCAACTTAAGCCCAACCCGAATAACTGAAAAGTTGTCCAAACCCATTTAAGTGATCACATTGGCTTTTAGTTAGCCCTTCTAGGTTGCGTCCCTGAATGACGATGATCACAAACATCATCAATACACGGTAGCAACCATTTCTTTTTCCTTTTTTTGGAAAAACAAGAAGATATCTTTGATTCCATCACTAACCAACAAATAAGAAAAAGAAGTTAATAATAAAGAAAATAAGTTGCAGGGAAAAAGCTTATTATATATTTTTTTATTATTATTTTTTTTTATATAGACTATGGTGGTGTCAATCTTTTTAAAGTACTCAATAATTCACCACCGACTACAAGTTGTTCTCTCTCTTACATACATCAGATAATTATTCAAAAAATTCACAAGAGATGGCCCCTATTATGAATGTTAAATCACTAAAGCACAACTTATTAGTTGTTTACTATGTTATTTCTATTAAAATGTAATGGAGTTATATTTACTTATTTTTACATTACATTAATATATATATATATATATATATATATATATATATATATATTCAATTACATATCCCTATAATGGTGCACGTTCTTGAGTAACTAATGTTCAATTTTGATCTGAAATTTGAGGTCCAGCTTGATTGAATTATGTGTTTCTGCTAATGACCTAATGACGTACTATTTACTTGTGACTTTGTGTGCCATCCCTCTGAGCCACACCTATCCTAGTTGGAACAAAATTGTAAGTTCTATTGTATTTTTATTTTTTGCTTTAATATTGTCTTGATGATTTGTTACGCTGGCAGAGAATTGTTCTATCTGGAGGAAAAATTTCTTAAGTTGATCAATTTCTGAGTTGTATTTGGTTTTACCATGGAAATTAAATTGTCTCATTATTGCTTAGTACTGTAGCAAATTCTGCTCGACTAAACAGAGACTTAATTGGGCTAAAATCAGCTCCAAATAATACCATATTTCTGGTTAAATCTTAGGCTTTCATTTATGCCCTCAGTAGCTCATTCGACTCTTTAGTCTTCGTCTTGTCTTCAACTTGACTGTCTAGGATTTTGTACCATATGTTATAAGCAGCTAGCTTTATAATTGTCTTGTCCACTAAATTTGTTTATTTAGCTTAATTGGTACTTAATAATCACACAGCACTTAAAAAGTATTTTTTCATATTCTTTTGGGAATTATGATGTGTTGCTCGGTTACTTGAGATCATACGCAAGTCTTTTGATTTGGTAAATATATTCTTAAGAAATTATATACAATAGGAGAGATGACTTATGATAGAAGAAAATGAAAATAAAGAATTCATGTGGCCAATCCTATTCAAATGGGACTAAGGCAAGGAGGATGATCGTTTGGTAAATATCTAGAAGGGTACCAACATGATATGCTGATCACATTTAGCAACAATAGGTTATGATATGCATTTATGACTCTTTGGAAGTGCAATGGTCACCCTACAAGTTGGTTAAATGAAAAAGACGTCACTCTACAGTTGATGATAAAAGCTCAAGTTAATCTTTTTTGTATATATTTTAACTTTTTGATTGTTTCCTGTTTATGAGAGTTGGATTTCTTGCTTTCCATCACGTTGGTGGTTGTGGAATTTATACCTGCTCGAAATGAGCTGTGTCTGTGCACACAAGTATTCACTATTGATTATAAATGATGAACATTGGTCTTCTCTAATGTTTTGAAATGAGGGGTTTTGACATGGGACACATTTTGGTGATCTTGTACTTGAGTAGAACATATACTTCGCATGCAATTAAATTTGAACTTAGTTTCTTATCTCATTTGATTAGGTCATATGGCGACACAAAATACCTAGGCAAAGTAAAAATGAGAATATATTATTTAGTATGTGGAAAAAAGGTTTGCCGGATCATAGATATAGCAATTTATTCATTTTGATGTCTTGCATTTGAATATATATTATAGGTCCAGTTGCCGAGGACATGTTTCACTGGCAAGCAACAATTATGGGTCCCTCCGACAGTCCTTATGCAGGTGGAGTGTTTCTAGTTACCATACATTTCCCTCCAGATTATCCGTTTAAGCCACCTAAGGTACTGCATTATCTGCTGTTAGTATTATGAAAGATGGTGCTTCATTTTAAATAAGAAGAGGCTAAAAGTTTGTATGATGTTAATCATTTTAAAATATGCTATAGCCTTTTGTGGTATAATAATCTATGCATGAAAGAAGATTGGTGAGAATTTGAAGTATAGAAGGTGGACGTATCTAATGGAATATCCTGTAGACTTGGTTTGAGAGAGAGGGGCAGAGTAAGCAGGGATACACATGATTGCATACGAGGTAGACTTTAGGATCATGTTGTATGTAGCATGCTCTTGTTTCTCCTAGTATGGCTCAAAAGAATTTTTATGTTTCCTCTTATTTTCCCCTCTTGTACTCACACACTCCTGAGTTGTGGCATATTTGATTCATACCACCTCATAACGCTGAAACCAAGATGCATTGGAGAGCCCCGAAACCATGACCAAAACAGCATTGAAAACCATATTCTTCATAAGAGTACTTAAAAAAAACTATATTCTTCATAAGAAGTGTTCACATTAAAACTAGTGTCTTTCTCCCAGTCTTGGAATCTTGGACACGGGATATATGAAACTATTTTCTACTTAATCATATGGAATTTGGCACTTTGTTGATCTTAACTATACATGCTTAACTTAATGGCTAATTTTGCCATGCTTTTTTTATGGATGAAAATTTATTGAAAATGTTTTCAGATGGTTTCCCCTTGTAGTTCTATTTACTTTGGATGGCTTTTGCAGGTTGCATTCAGAACAAAGGTCTTTCACCCTAATATCAACAGTAACGGCAGTATTTGCCTTGATATATTGAAGGAACAGTGGAGCCCTGCCCTTACTATTTCCAAGGTTATTATTCTGTTACTTCAAACCACTTTACGAAGGAAGATTTACATGTTTCAAAATAAAAATAAAATACAGTGTGGTTGAATAAACTCTCCTACTCATGGCATCTGGTTCTATCGTTTCAGATGCTATGAACCACAAAACTCGACCCAATTGAACAGTGGCACTTAGTTTTATGATCTGAAAATAATTACAATTGAATATGGGAGGTGATATTTGCACTTTACTTTTTCATAATTGAACTCCATTTTTAAAGTGAAATGACATCACTGTCTCTATTAATGAATAAGACAATAACGTATTAGAGGTGTTATTTGTCATTTAATTTGAGGAAAAACAAAAAAGGAGTGCATTTATAAAAGAGAAGCGTGAACCTCCCTTGAAAATTAGACTTGAAAATTCTTGGAAGTTGGTCATTTGGGTTATCGATCTGCTTTTGTATCCCCAGGTCTTGAGGGTTTGTGTGTGGGTGTTTTGGGAGGCTGTGGACTGTGGGTCAATCATGCATGTCCTCCAAAACTATTAGGAGTGGAAATTCATTTTTGGCGAAGTAAGTGCATGATTTCATATGGATGTTAAAGTGGATTCGTGTTCATCTTCAGGTATTGCTCTCCATCTGTTCTCTATTAACGGACCCGAATCCTGATGACCCTCTGGTGCCCGAGATTGCTCACATGTACAAGACAGACAGGAGCAAGTATGAGACAACTGCCAGGAGCTGGACCCAGAAGTATGCAATGGGTTAGCGGATGTTGCCATTTGTGATAGGAGGGCTCCTTTACCTTGCGCTTTGGTCTTTTATCTGTAATTTATGAATGAAGACGTACGATCTGTCTGCTGTAAGATGGACCGAGAGAGGGAAAGGTTTGAATCCTGCCCTTCTTAAAAAAACACAGGTGCTGCTTTTGAATTGTCTGTATGGTAAATTGTATGTGTAACTAAGAAGTATGCTTCTTAATGTTTGAAGGTCTTCACTCTTCATCACTTTGGTAGTTCTAATTCGAAATTCGAAAGCAAAAGATAAGAGGCGTACTACTGCAACTACATGTTCCTGCTGTTCTTCACTTAAGCCTCAAGTTCACACTTCATTTTCCTTCCATTTCTAAGTGAAAGCCTATATAGGTGACTTTCAACTACTCATGCAAGCCATAGGAGTTTGTACTGATCAATTCTCGTGACCCCAATTCTCGTGACCACTCTCAATTAACCATAAACGTAATTAACAATGGTTGTAACAGTTATTATGGTTGC